CACCGAAGCATTTCTGTTGGCACAAAATTTATGCTTACATAGTTTCTGTTCGGTAGCTGCTTATCTTCTGACGGGGGATTTCTCTTGGGCTACAGTAGTAGAACATTGACCCGCCTCGACTTTTAGAATTGAGTCATTGACTTGTCGGTCCTTGCGTGATAACTATCGCCCTTTTTGTTGCAACAATTGATCATCCATAGAAATTTTACTGGCGTATGCTGGATTTGACCTGGAATTCGATCCAGGACCATGTGCTGTAGCGGCCCGTTGGCACTATGCATGCCCTTTACAAATTTGTACACATCTTCCTATAAAGATGTGCAAAAACTCAAATAAAATTTTTTGGGAGCTGCGCACACTGGCCCACCACGTGAGTTGCGGCACGACTTGCTTTACATATAACTAATCCTGGGCGACGCGTCTTGAATTGGGACTATTTTTTCAGAAAACAAAAATATAAGGCTTCTCCTACTTGAGCACAATTCCGCCATCAAGCGGGTGCTCTCATCGTAATAAGCTCTAAAGTGTGGTAGCCTCTTTTACTACATACAGGGGGGGGGCAATAAAAAAAACATTTTGTCTCCAGACTCAAATGGATTTAATCACACTTTGCTCAGCTCAAAGCGTGTGCTCCCAACTCATTTCATTTCATAAGAAAATCTTCATAGTGGCCATCTACGTGGACGGCATCAGAAAAGTTTGCCCCGGAAACATGGTGCTTTGGTCGAGCTCACCAGGAAGGTCTTTCAGGGCGTGCCAAGCTTTTTGAAAACGGTCTTTTGCATGATATAGGGGCACATGCGGGAACCACAGAACCATGGTTAATTTTTCCTGAACGGCCCTCTGAATACCAGAAAAAGGGGTCCCTAGGGACCCCTTTTTCTGGTATTCAGAGGGCCATTTAAGCGCGCTCTAGGCACAGCGCGCGACGCGATCGCGGGTAGTTAGCGCCGCTATACTGGAGCGCGAGACTGTTCAACTGTGTAGGGGCAGTACCTCCTTCAATGTTCTACTTTCCGGCCAATGTGGCAAAGGTTAAATGTCTTTAAAGGAAAGAAGGAGAACCTAATCTGAGCAGAATTGAATCTAGCATTTGGATCAAGCCGCATTTGCGTGGCAGCGGCGCTGTCCCTCTCGCACATCTGAAACTAGCATTTTTTGATATGAAACCGGATGTGCAGAGGACAAAAAGGGGTCGTATCAGAGTCCATGTTTTGGAGGGGGGTCGTAAAGAGGCGGTTATTTCCTCGACACGATTTTCACCCTGGTCCCTAGTCACACCTTTTTCACCAGTTTTTCAATCAAAGTCTATTTGTAAGGGTTACTGACGGTCCTAATCATGAATATGGTACTAATTATTCATGCTAACTCCATTTTGCGCGAATTTTGGAAACGTCAACTCGAAATGCAAAAATTTGTCACCACGAGGAATCGAACTAGGGACCCCCTTTTCTGGTATTCAGAGGGCCGTTCAGGAAAAATTAACCATGGTTCTGTGGTTCCCGCATCTGCCCCTATATCATGCAAAAGACCGTTTTCAAAAAGCTTGTCACGCCCTGAAAGACCTTCCTGGTAAGGGGGTTCTCGACTGATCGTGTACCGTAACGACGGGCTCCGAAGGGTGACTTCCGAGTGAATCGATCCAAGAAATTATAAGAGCTTCAGGCTGAAGCAGTTACTGTAGGCCTCCTTGAGCTCGACGACGGTGACAGATGACGTCATATTCTGAAGACGGTGAGGGCAGTGAAGGAGGGCCTGCGTGTACTTATAGAGGGACATTTAGGGAATATTTGCTGAGGAACTTCCGTCAACGACGGCAATCTCTGCGAAGAAAAAAAGCCGAAGTGCGATCTGGGCAAAAGGAAAATCTTCCATCTAGGATATGGATAAGGTAACATCTTAGAAAAAAGCTCCAAGAAAGCATCACCGCGCGACAGAGCAAGTTAGCCAGGTAAACGACCCTCTTCTCGTCTGCTTGAAATGCAGCGCTTAAGACCCAAGGATAACATTGGCGTCTGCTTGATTTCAGATATGCGAACCCGTCACATCACGCTCTGGTTGAAAAGCGCCGTTGGTGTCATTGAACTTGAAATGAAATGAAACATTTCCAACTCAGCTCCCTTAACATTAAAAGTACGTCGATCAAGTGTAAAACAGTTGAAATGCCAGATCTCAATTGCGGACGTTCTCAAGATTTCTCTAAAATGCGCAAAACATTTAACATCGAATACCTTAACCCAAAAATATTACCCCCTTTTCCCAAAATCCGAAAATACGGCCCCTGCTCGCTTGTTTCGGCCGGACGGATCGTTGGACCTAATAAACCGGCCGTGGCATCCTCAAGCAATTATGCACATCCTTGGTAGGAACGGCCATCCGATATACCTCTCTCTCTCTGATATGATGATGTCTGATGGAGATGATGATCGCAAGAAGCCATAATTATGCGAGTCCGTATAGACCACGAATAACAGTCATATCAGCAACAAGTAGACTCTATCAGTTTCGTTTCATGCCTTGTTCATAACATTACTTCAATGCTCATAACGTTGTCAGAATTCGGAGAAAACATAGAGCGGTAGAAGCAAAAAAGGGCTGCTTCTGCATCTTATTTTATGTACATATGCTCATTGCTGAACCAAAGAGATGATCTTGGCTTTTGAAGGTGAGCTGTGCTCAACCGGTGTTCTTCTTCACCTTATTACTTCTTAAAGCAACAGTCGAAGCAGGTCTCTTAATATTGTGCTGTCCCGGAGCCTCATCAGCACCTAAATATTGTATAACACAGAGAGGCACCAAAATTTTGGAACTCAAACTTTTGTGATTCTTTCGAAATAAAATTTTGGTGCCTCTCTGTGTTATACAATATTTAGTCGAAGCAGGGTTTCAACCATTCGATCCTAAGGGGTGGAAACATGCACTAGCCCTAGTCAAGTACATAGGAAATGTCACTGATTTGAAAACTTACCTTTGAAAGGCGTTGGAAGAGTGTCTAACGCCTTTGAAGTGGGCGGGTCCACAGAGCAAGCACTTTAATCAGAACTTGTGGTTAATTATTGGAGCGTCTGTATCCGGATACCACCCCCATTATCTTCAAGGCCCTCGCTTTCGTTACGGTAACTGTTTGAACAACTGATGCAAGACATATTCATTGCGCTCAGCCCAGTGCATCCAGAACACCTTCACCTGACTCCGTTCCTCCCAGGCCTATTTTGAACTAGAAAAGAAAAGTATGGAGGCTTTCTCATAATGTGTGCCGTGTTCAAGGCTTTGAAAAACTAAAAGAAAATGATTCGAGCAATCGCGTTCTAACTTGTAGATAGAAAAAGAAAAGAAAGAAAGGATATCTGGAGCTCTGGCCGTTCACTTGGAATCAAGCGAAAATAAAGCATTTCAAAGTAAGGTGTCAAAAAAGAACAGATCTTTTGAAACACCTAATAAAAGCAAGTCTAGCACAAGTCTCTGGTGACTGTTTGTAGTCCACAGAAACGGTATTTTTGAGCATTTTCAATATTTGTTTTTGCAATACTGTAAATTGTACAAATGTAAACTAGAACCAAGCTGATAAAATATGTTTCAACTTTCTCCATTCAAGCAGAGATGGTGTGACGACAAGAATGGCCGCTACGGCGCGCTGCGGATCAAATCCCAAGTTGAACCCCGCGTACGTCATCCATATTCCGAAGAGGCACACCCATTCCCTGTTGGCTGGTGCCAGAATGTGATAACGGTCATTTTTCCGCTCTACTGTGGAGCACCGGTAACACCCAAACTAGTCATCGGAGCTGCCAAAGTGGGTTGGATGCTTTAGGGAATAGGGTTCACTTCTTGTGCCCAAAGCACTTTTGAGGCTTAAAGAGACAACTGTGTCCAAATGTCAGGCCGTTGAATTCAAGGCAAGATAAAAAAGGATAAAGGATAAAGCAATTGCCGTTGATAAATGACTTTTGGGGGCCAGCCGATGTACAAGTCAGTGTTTTTATCCTCCCAGACAAGTCTGGTACCAATTAACCGACCCCGGAGGGATGGAAGGCTTGGTTGGCCCGGGCGACTCACGACCCAGGATTTGATCCCCGGACCGCTCGCGTGGTAAGCGTGCCACTTGCCACTACACCACTTCCGCCCTTAAGGCAAGATTCAGGATCAAATTGATGAGGTAATTCCACTCAAATGTGAAAGTAGGGGTAGGAGGTGGACCGCCAGTGGAGAAAAAAGAAAAAAAATCGTGAAATACACAGGAAATACGAGCTTTTGCTCTACGCTGCGGAGAAGTTCAAAAGGCCAGGGAGATGAGAGATAATGTGAGCGCGGAGAGCGGTAGAGAAGTCCGAGTAGAGAGAGCATAGCAGATCAACATTGCGACGCAGACAAGATATCGAGCGGTGGGCGGAGCGTGTCGCAACAGGTGGAGCGTGTCAAAGTTCTTAGCGCCTAGCGTCTTTTCGAAGTAGGGAAGTGACGCGACCTCTGCACTTGCGTAATTAGCGCTTCTAGCCACAGTAAGGCTGACTAAGTCTGAGCCCGAACTTTGCCTTTAAGTGTTCCACACAGCTTCGTAAGGCACAAACGCGACTAGCGCACTTACACTTGGTCCTTCCATGGATGAGGAGGCAACAAAGTGCCTCCTACTGTCGTGTGAAAAAACCTATGATGAAGTTTTTTTCCGGTAGTATCCACAGAGTCAACAACAGAGAATATAATTAGCTGCCACATTTCACCTGATTGTTTTGCTGTAGAAGAGAATGCATCCATTTCATGCCACTTCGTCGCTTTTTACAGTTTGTGACACATTTCTGCTAATGAATCCGCATCCAGGTGTTTCAATGAAGTGAATTTCATGTATTCTAGGAATTTCTTTGAGAAACCAATTAGGATCTGTTCTGCTATTGGCAAGCAACGCAATGGGTGGCAATGACTGACGCACGCGTTGCTTCAGAAACGAGCTCAAGTTCAATTCCATTATTCTCTGTCGAATAAATGTGATACCTTACACTACTTACATGGAAAAGAGCTCAAATCTGAAAACGTGTCGCTTGGGTGCGAGCAAGTACAGTATTGAGGTGACAGGTGCATTCACTTCACTCCTAAAAAGACCTTGAGAGCTTCTTTTGGCTTTTTTTTCCTGATTTTTCTTCGATATTTGCTCCAGATATTCCTATACGATTGCTCTTTCTGCTTACCCGCTTCTTTTGTCTGCTGGCTTTCTGAACATCTTTTAACAGCGGTGCTTACCATGGCGCCTCTCTCCTGCCATATAAGAAATGAATACTCTAATAGTTCACAATAATCATTCTTTTCTTTGCTAGGTGAACATCATGCGGCTCATACCAGTGGTGGTGAGCAACCACTCTAATTCGTTCGAATGTACTACAGAAGGATTGATTTCTCTGAAACTCTGTAAATTCTATCCTGCCATCATCCCGTCGGCCTTCACGACTTTTTTTTCAGTATGCAGGAAGAAATTTAAATTATAAACGATTCTGTCGAAAATTTCTCAAATTTTTAAAGGAGGATTTCACGATTAGAATGAAGGTCGAAGAAAAGGAAATTGACCTAGTTGAGGGACCCACGGACCTCCTGAGGGTGCGAACTGACGCGCAATTCGCATGGAAAAATTTGACCTCGGCGACCTATCATGCCTCAAAGCTGGCGGGTCCGGCGATCTCCGCCCACCGACCATCTGATCACTCGCCGCAGTCTATACGTGGCGAGTGATTAGATAGCAGAGAGAGCGTAGTGTTGAAGAGGGCACAGCGATGAGAGTCGCATCAATGCTCAAATCAACGGGCAAGGAAGGGGTCCCATTTCTCGGGTTCTGGGCCGTTTCTCATGGTTCTTCCTTCTTTCGTGTACCACTCACCATCCCTAAGTTAATTTGAAATGGGTTGCCTTTCCAGCGTGAATTCGTCCTTTAAACAAGAATAATAGAGAAGAGATCAAAATTGCAAAAGTTTAAAATCTAGTTATACGAAGAATTCATGGCGAATGTGGCATGTGGCAAATGTTGCTAACTACCACCGCACGGCTGTAAATCGGACTCGACTTTCAGACCCTTCAGACCAAACTTTTCATCCCTAAGGGGTCGCGTGATTGGCACCAGACTTGTGTGAAAGGGCAAAACCTAGCGCGCACATTGACTCACCTTCGGAGGTTATAGCGTAGGCCGTATAGCATTCAGAATAACACAAGGATGAGGTGGAATGCGTGGCGCATCCCGTAAGACATTCATATGTGTCAAATGCATTACCTTTTTTCTTTTAGAAGGAAATGAAGGAATCCTCTTATTATCGTTCAAAATAAAACTGCTTCTAGAAAGTGGGAATACCTGACGTATAGGATATAAATTGCTACGTGATACATTTTATTATTACTGGGAAAGGCGAGAAAGGAGAGCGAGTTTCATGAAATCAAAGTCCAAGAAAGGAGGGCACACTTCCCTTGAACAACACTAATACGTCGCAGGGTGACGTAGCGGTGAGCTCGTATTGAGCCACTAAAAGTGCTCGCTCAAATATAAGTATGTCAAATAACTGGTAATATTTGTTGAAGGAACCTCTTAAATCTCACTTAGGGAACCATACAATGATGCCCAGGAAATGGCTCATGCTTCTGGTTATTATATTTAGTAATTTATTTATTTCGCAACAATACATAGTTGATAGACGGATGGTAACTTCCGGGATGTGATTACGAGCCTGCATTACCGTGCTTTTTCTATTCCTCTTGTTGGTCTTCGGATACTGATTCAAATTCTCTGTCTGACATGTTCCTTCGTGCTTTTAAAACAGTTATGTGTTATGTCTGTGGGAAAAGGTAAATGTCAAACAAACTTGTAGAGTAGGTTAGAAGGTCGGAAGCATAAAGCAGCGTGCATGTACTTAGAATTGGCGCCGATCCTGTGTGTGGGGTTCGATTCATCGGTTCAGCACCCAATATCGGTGGTACAAATACACAGTATGATATAGGCTCAGCAAACACCAACTAGGCTAAGTAATGAACTTTTCGCAATCGCCTCTGCTGTTGGCTAATCTCGCAGGAAGGGAGGGAGTGCAGAAATTTTCGCATTCTTGAGCTGTGAAACGAGGGTACATTTACCTCTCTGAACCATTGTAGCCCTCCGGGAGCCGACCCCTAAAATTGCTGACTACAAATTTCAGTCCTATTTGACATTTTCGCTTTTGAAATATGTATATTATTACAAGCTTACTGTCCTTTTCAATATTTCACTATGTAGGACACAGAACTCTTCACAGAAGTACTATCTTTAACAGCAACTGTGGTTGTTTATAATCACAAACACCGGGATTAGCCCGATTTGTGGGAAGGATACCGCGAGGGAATTTTAAGGTCCGTACCTACCTAGATCACTCCAGCTTCGTCGCAAAAATTGCGCGGTTAGGGCGCTAATCCTTACGGGCCTGCAACCATCGACCCTAGCTGCAACGCTTTCCCACCCACCTTAAGAGATGTATAATTCAGCGTGCTCTCTCGAACGGCGTGATCCCTCTCTTGTGCTTTCTATTTTTTAATCGCCCGCCGTTCTTCTCCATTGTACCACATCCGACATTATTGAAGGTTAAGACCTTACTTTCAGCGTTCCTAAAGAGTGCCCCGCTTTCCTTCCCAATCTCAGGTCGTTCCGTAGTTCAGCCATCACTACGAAACGCTCTTATCACCAGTTTTATCCCGGGGCTTGCCTTCAAGCCGTAACAAATGATGTGAAGCACGAATATGTGTGTAAGCTGACACACACTCACTAGTGAACATGCACGGTTCACCGATCTTGTGTAAGTATCCCTTACAATTACTATGTATTATATTGCTACATTGTTTCTTCTCTACCCCCACCCCGACGCTTCTCCACAACTTTTCATCTTCAGTAACCACAGTGACTTGCACGTCATGTTGTTCATACGTTATTGCGAGCTTTACTGAATTCCTAAAATTGCTTTTCATCATGTTATAGCCCAATATTTCAGAAATGGCCAATGCCGGCTCGGCGACTTTTAATCCAAACGACTCACGGTATAAAGCCTGTTGCTGTCATGCCAAGACATTCACGATCGTCGTCGGGATTTTGGAGATTTTCGCTATTTGCTTTGTACTCGTGGCTGGTAGGTTTCCCATTTTATTTTCCACACGGCTCTGTAGCGAGCGGAGTCACTACGTCCACTTTCTATTTGGATTTTCTCCATATTTTATTCGGATCACTTATACGTGCTTTTCCTTGCATGCCACTCTTTCGCCGTTAGTCTGGCGATAGCAGATCCGTTAAATTGATGCTACGTTTTTGAACCAAAAACCTGGCTTGACTGCAGACTTCGTCTACAATCGGAATACCTACAAGCGACCTTCCGTCGGCCCAAGCCGAAGAAGGGGAGATGTTTGGCCGACGGGGTGAGGCTCATACGCCCCTGGTCGACGTCGCTGTGCGTGGTGTTCTCCATGGATGTAGGTGCGCGGGGGATGGTTGAGGCTATAAATAAATGTGTGAAAAAACGTCACTGGTTGATTGACGCAAAGGAAGTGACGAGATGAGACAGATGCGGAAGTTGGCAGTTGGCTTACAGCATAAAACCACTTATCAGCAGGGTCAACCCTGCGTTGCGCAAAGAACAACGAGGGGGTCGTATTCAGCCGACCGAAAAGGGAGGGGGTCGTATCCACAGACGGGCTGCAAGACGGCTTGAAAAGTGCAGTGTCCGGGAGTGCACTTTCCTCTAATGTTCTCCAGGAGCTCTGCACGCTGTCGGAGAGTCACACAGACATGAGCTCCATGGGAGCATTAAAGCATGCAGAGCACTATAAGTCTCACCATCAGCTTATTATCCTTATCGACGCTATCCGGACGGCGCTTTTGCTCCGCGGCATAGATCAAGAGTACAATAGACAATAGCCAAAAACTTTGTTACAGTGTAGTGCAAAAACATGGTCTGTCTTCGATGATGAAACATTCCTGAAATCCCGAGGAGAACAAAGTGTAGAGCAGTTCATGGGAAAGTGAAACAAGAGTGCCATATAACAGCACAATACAACTCAATCAGGATACTAACACCTTCTTCAGGAAAACAGAAGACTTTCAAATGCGAGTGCGAATTCTGCCCACAGATAGGTGCACGGCGTATACCCGAGCAGGCGTTTTCCCCATAAAAACGCCTCCTCTGTCAGCGGCCGTAAGCAGACAAACTTTCTGAAGAGAGTTTTGATGCTTTCAAATAAAATCTAAGCGAAACAAAGTGTAGCGAATTTGCTGAATTGAGTTCTAGAGACGCCGTAGGAAAATTGAGGCAGAAGAAGGAATTTCAGGGAAATTTCACAGTTGTTATGAAGTACTCTTCGAGTGGATTCCAACAATCTTTACCGCTTCTCATCACATTAATTTCAAAGGAAGTTATGGGCCTTTGAAGACTGCATAGTCGCGGTCCAGGAAAATGGCTTGAAAAAAATCAAGGTGGAATTGACGGAACAACGGGACTATTTTTTGAGCGAGTGATTATTTCAAGAAGTTTTAGCACTTATTCGAAAGCTCTAATCCTCTAGTTTCTAATTAGCCTTAGACATCTGCAAAATGTTGAGTATGAAGAAAGTTATTAACGTTTGAATGTCGAAAACTCGCGCCTTCTCAAAAATCGGACCCCAAACCACCCAAGAACGGAACAACGGGACTATTTTTTGAAAAAATGATCGCTGGAAAATTTCAGGTGCTTGTTCGAAAGCTCTAATCTTCTAGTTTCTAATTAGCCTTAGACATTTGCAAAAAGTTGATTATGAAGAAAGTTATGAATGTTTGAATGTCAAAAACTCGCGTGTGCACAGAAAACGGAACAACGGGACGATTTTTTTGAAATACTGAACATCCACAACATTTCAAATACTCCTCAGGAAGAAAACTATTTATATTTTCAAAATTTTGGTGTCCGATTTCATGAAACAGCTTCTGAAAGAAAATATAACCTTCTGAATGGAGGGGTTTGGATTGCAATGTAATTGCTACAAGGTTTAGTTTTTCAGATTATAAGGTAAGGAAAGTTGAGAGATCGAAAAAATCCTGGTGGGTTTCTGAAAGTAGAAATCTTTACGATTAAAATGATGTATTGGTTTACGCAAAAATTTGAAATTCCTTCTATTTAATGAATAAAACTTCATTTGCCTCGATTTCCTCCTCTGAGCGAGACAGAGCGCGCGGATTGACCACGGTCCACCACTTCTCCATGTTGGTGACTGCCATCATTGATGAGCATTGATGAGCATTAAATTATGTGAAAGACATGATAGTTAATATGGGGGGTCGTACCGATACCCCCGAAAAGGAAGGGGGTCGTAAAAATTTGGGAATTTGCGCAACGCAGGGTTGACCCTGCCTCTCAAGGACGGTCGCTGTCGCGACCGTAGTCCAGTCAGGCATACCTTTTCAAGGCCTTCTTAAAAAGAGAAATAAACTAGCGGGGTTAATTTGACCCTATCATTATATTATATGATTAGTATCAGTATTCGTTAGGAGCGGAAGAATTCTGTAATTTTCGATGCTAGTTGAAGAATTTCAGAAGTTGAATCTGATGTACCACAGTTAAAACCCTGGAAATTCGCATGTGCACAAGAGGACTAACTGAACGATTTTTCGAAGAACTGAATACTCATAAAAGTTGCTTCCTTAAGAGAGCAAACATTCCAAACTTGCGAGTTTTATTTATCCCTTTGCCAGGAAATTCAGGACTGCTGAAGAGGCAGCGTGGGCGTATATTCTCATTACATTTTGTATCTCCACTTCATAACAAAAGAAGTTTTTGGGACGCTGTTTGATCTCGACGGTTTTCCTACATAAGCTGACAGCCAAAAGATTATAGATGCATAATTTTGAAGAAATGTTAAACACTAAAGAAAATTGAGTGTGTAGTCGAGAGAGGCAAGAATTGCATTGGTTGTGTTTTCGGGAGGCCTTAACTGCAAAATTGCTCAGGTCGGGCCGCTTGGCACCGGTAATGGTTCTGTTACATATACATCAGCCCCCTCTCCTATCCTTGCATTTTGTTTTAAAAGAAAAACGAGGAGAAAGGGGCCATAGGCGTTGGGGGAGTGTTATCGCTCGATAAAGACAAGTGTGGGATCAGTAGACGTATTGTGGCTACCATTGACTTTTGACGCAGAAATGCGTTAAAAACATTGACCAATTCTGTTTTACTTGCAGTTTTATATTACATTATGTATATTATTTTATAAGTTTACTGTTGCAGTGGTTGTTTATTTATGTTACTTGACATTGTATTATTTACTTTACTTTATATTTTATGCCCTGACGAGCAAGATCTTCAGAATGTTGAATTTTTCGTATTTTAGTGCTACCAGATGTCAATTCGAGGTTATGCGATTTCTCTTTGCTACCACTGAACATTACTGATGAACCGCCGAAGCAGCCTGCTGAGTATGGATCGTAAGTGTGACTGTATGATCGACATTGAAACAATGAAAGAGGTTAAAGGAAGCTTCCACGGAAAGACTGCTTATCCTTTCCTTGTGCACAAGGTGGGCAGGGCATTGAGGACCATATGGCAAGGTTCAGGAGCGGAAAGATGCTATGAAACTCCCGAAAACAGCCCTTGGAAACACTCGATGCTGCTTGGGACCAGATTGGACCATGGAGCGGGAAGCAGAGTCAACCCTGCGTTGCGCAGTTCTCAACGGCCACGTTGCGCAGTTTCGCCCGATTAGACACGTTCTCTCGCGCGAACATTCACACTCGCATGCTCGAGCCGTCTGCGTCTCCGCCCATACAGCGTGCGTTGAGGATCTCTCGACGTGCCGTTGCGAACTGCGCAACGCAGGGTTGACTCTGACCGGAAGTGCTTCTGTGACGAAGTGCATGGCAGGTGCGGATCCACGTGTCAGTTTATGGGAAGGGCCCAACATGAATCCAGTTCACGTTCACGCTTTTGACACGTTTGCACGTGTTGACTCCACGCCGCTAACAGTTGTGGAAGTTTTACAGCGGGAATTCAAAATTTTCATAGTCGAACTGGTTATCATAACTTGATCTCGAACTGGTTATCATAACTTGATTTTCCATGGTAATCGGCTCCAAAGCTTGCTGAACTCAGAAAAACGACACTAAGTTATCCGATGCCCAATAGTTTAGGGATGGAATAGTTTCTAAAAAAGCACAGAAAGTTCCAGCTCTGTGTAGGGCATTGCAAAACAGGAATCGAAGCAGAGAAGCGGATCTCTGGGATAAGAACATGTGGCAACCTATGGTAGACAGCTACACTACATATAAGTGCAAGAACTTTCTGAAAATTAATTAAAATTGAAAATTTTAAAATGTATAAATGCTCTAGTTAATGATAGTTCAATTTCAGTGCAATAGCCAGTTTACGACAGTTGATGTGTGATCTCAGTATTGTATGGTTAATATGGGCAATAGCGCAAATTGTTGGCATTAATCTCGTCTTCTACGGAATTAAAAATATACGTTGGCGATTTTTTCTGCCTCACCTTCTCTTGAGGTAGGTCAATCCTTACTAGAGGTGAAGCATATGGTTATAAATTATTGGAAAGCTTATCAAATGCTCGCTTTATGCTTAGTGCTGAGATGTTCTCTCACTAAGGAAGGCATGTAGGCAAATTTTGCAGCCGCAAAGTGTATTTTCCCCCGTGAGAAAAGTGTGCTCGCTATAGGGTTTGGGCCTGAGAGCACCGCTACGGCCCGAATCCGTTCAAAATCGACGTCTGTTACGACATTGGCATAACCAACGGTTTCACGTTTTGTCGTCATTCATCGGAACTTCAAAATTACCTTAAGAGGGGATCGTTGTTATTTGAAACATCCTACGTTTCAATAATTGGTCGCCGATTATGCCATAGGAGTACAGGCACTTTGTGTCCTCACAAAATCGTGAAGCAAAAAAATAGTCGGAAACGTTTCAAAGGCTCTCAAACGGCAGATCTATGCAAGGACCAGATAGCGTTTGTGGTTGGACAAGAAACTTTGACAACGAGGTTAAGAAGAAGGATAGAGACTACACCTAGAAGCCAACAGCAATTAAATTATAAGGCGTGGGGATAGAGCGAGGCTTGCGGGCGATATAAGTCCCTTCAGCGCACTTCATGATTGTGAAAATGGCAGGATCTGCTCGCCTGGGGGCCGGCCTGCTCCCATGCAAACTTTATTGTATCAATTGAACAATATTGAAGTGGGCTCTAAAGTAGTGATTTACCTACTGAGAGACATTCAGGTTTCTTGGCACTGGTGTACTTGGCTGCCTTATAGCTATATTGACATTTTCTGCAGTAACCGAGCAAGACAACACAGCCAACATCATTGGCCTAGTGTTCATTGCACTTCTAGTTATTTTTTGGATATACGCTACGGTAGGTGTTGTATTATTGAAGTTTGTACTATACTTATAATTTATACTTTTTCATCGCAATGAACAAAAAGGTAAAAAAGTGACTGTAATGCTACCGCTTCACCATCGAATTCCCTGAGCTATAAAAATCTGTGCTTTCAGATATTGACAGATTTTCATTAATGAATTGTAATTGTGTGTTATTGTTTATTACACGAAATCACCGTCAACCGTGCGATACAGTCAAAACTAAGGAGGAAAGGCACTGAACTCCAAGCGAAACTTCGAAACCTAGATATTTCCAGAGAGCTTGGGACGCTTGTTAGAAATACGGAAACCAAAATAAAAGGACAAGTAAGTTACGAACAGTGCAAAGTTGAGTGCAAATGGAGGCTTGTGGATGAGGCTCGCCAGTGTCAGTTATTGTAGGCTCCCGCGGATTAGTGGTGAGGGTATCGCTCGTCATTGTGCAGGTCATGGGTTCGGTTACCACTGCACCAAGAACTTTTGAAAATCGTGTTTAAACCAACCACAAAGACTTTTATTCTAGTTTTTGACATTTATTCGAATAAGCACATCTGATCACAGCTATCCTTATATAGTTGACGTTTGTTGTGTGTGTATGTTAAAATGAAGTAACTTCTTGTATGGTTTCCTCTACTCCCGGCGTTTGATTAGTAGAACAGAAGCTAGCTCCATACGCCTTCCACGTCCACCTCATTCTACACTGATGAAGCAAAGCAAAATAATGTGTGAAGCAGACATGCTGTTCACCAATCGCATGTCTAATATTAGGTTGGAAAGAAAGTCCTGCAACACTTTTTCAAATTTTTGATTTTAATTTTATCTTTTTTGTTTACAACTCCTGACCGGTCTTATATCTACCATGAGTGTCCACCACTTGTCTTCAACGCTCAGAAAATTTCTTGATGCTCCTTTGCCAAAACCCAGCGGAGTGCGGGTCGAGAAAGGAGGCGACCTCACTTTCGAGTTGGAGTTGATCGTCTAATTATTTCGTCATCAAGATGATGATTTAAGGTCCAGGATAGGTGGCAGTCATTTATAGCTCGACCAGGGGAATACGCTAAGAGAGGTAAGAAATCTTGCCGCAGCTCCAGAATTTCTTACCGGGCTCATTTCGGATCATGGTGATTCGCAATGTCATGAAAGAAATAATATTGTCGCGGTACGAGGGCTCCTGACGAGCTGCCTCGGCCAGCTTCTGGAGTTCCGCAGCCTAGACCTCTACCTACACAATGGTGCCCATAACGAAGAATTGTAGTGGAGCTTCCGTAAGAGCCCTACCTGTAATGGAGTGTGCGGGACGCTGCTGGCTTCTTATAAAAATATCAAAAGATCGAAAGCGCTGGTAAAGGTGAAACACGCTGTAGCGCTGAACGGCATGCCTATTGAAGCTATTGCAGATAGTGTCAGTCGTTGACACGAATCCATAGTTTTGTAGACATTTGTACTAGACAGTGACTCGGAGTATGGATTTGCTAGTGGTCGAGATTTTTTGAATTTTCTTGGATAACTACTGACTGCAGCACTTATATCCACCTCGTGGATTGAAGCTCCGAGAATGCTCTACCGTTTGTTAGACTTAGAATGATTTCAGTTCACCCGTGACAACTCCTAACCTGAGCAGCCTGTTAAACTCTGTGCAAGTGCTTCACAAAAAAGTGATGCCTGATATCACTTTTAGCTCAGCGAACGGATGTTCTCATGGAGGTACCCCTTCTTGACTCTCTAACTGATAAAAAGCTGCTGGATTCAATTATAGAGTAACCGTGGGAAACCTTAAAACACTTCACCAAGTCGAATTTTTTTCTTCCAAAGCTGTGTCTCAAGATTGGGATCCGCATGGCGCACTCTACTACTGGGTGTTGATCATAACGGAACCCAACGGCCCTGATGAAAACCCTCCTTGAAGAACTATTTCAAACCCTTTCCCTGGCTTGAATACCTTTACATTATGTGGATGGGAGACTACTGTGTCATATTTTAGCAACCACCTAATGTATGTTTTGAAAGCCCTGAGACCACCAGATAGTCCCTGGTTGAGAGAGCTGAACAGAGCTTGAGCAAGGTGAACATCAGCGTCATGGCTTTATTAGCGATACTCAAGCAGTGACCGTTAAATTGAACATATTTCTAAGCATGTAAGTTATCCAAGGTCTCTTATTTCCTTGACCTTCTAACTGAGCCCCACCTATAGAATAGGGAGAGGTAACAGCAACTTCTCCGAATGTGGAACCTTGGATCTTGGATAATAGATATAGGCAATTTCCATTGTACGGCCCAGGCTAGCATCATTAATGGCATCTTATGATAATATCGTGTGTAAATCACACAACATTGAACGATACAGTTTGAAATCATCCGCAAAAGCAATACATTTCGCTTCTCTGGCTATGAATTCAGAAGTGAATATATTGGGAAGGATGGGTGGAAAATCTTGCGGCACCCTATTGCACTGATTTGGGCTCAAAAAACACTGCGTTAACACAAACAGAGATAGTTCTATCCGCAAGTATGGCTTCAATCCAAGCTACTATATACTTGGATGAATACCATCCTAGATAAGCTTGGAGATGAGTTTTTGATGGTATACTTTATCATATGCCTCTGTGAAAACCAGGTAAACAAGGTTCTATCGTATACCATTATCATTGTAAGTTGTCCAGCCATTGAGCGCTTTCAGCATGGCAGTCACGATGGATTTACCCTTTTAAAAACTGTGTTGAACATCCGAAATAATAGTGAAGTGATCCAGGTGCGCCACAATCCTCTTTTTCAAAACCTTTTCAGATAATCTAGCGAACATCCACGTCATGCTTACACCCTGTAATTGCTCGGGCCTGAGTGAAGCAACTTTTTTGAGATCGGAGTAATATCCATCAATCTTGAATTAGAAATGAACGCAACTGAACCAGAAATTATGTGTGCTACCTCAACGAAGCTGAGGGGAATACGGTCAAGTGGGTTCGAATGAGATTTTCGCAATCTAACTCGTAACTTGCAAATTCCTTCACTATGGGACCGAACCGAATCCTTTACGGGAAACACAGGAGTTACGTCTAAATCTCTAATCCTCATCACTTTATGTCTTTCTCAAAAACTTCGCAAAAGGCTCTGCTATATCCCTTCCATTAACACTTTGGCGACAATGCCATTTTTCGCGTGTCTGCACTTGGGACCGCGCGCATTTTTCTTTGCGGGTCGACGTGAGGGACGCATTGTCCAAGATGACAGTCTTTTTGTCGTCAACTGGCGCCAGAGCCTGTTTTTCCTCCAGTTTCGCTGTAAACTCGGGAACAGGGGTAATCGGTGGTCCTAAGCATGAAAATGGCATCTTTTTTGGCGCCGCGCCATTTGGCGTGAAGTTGGCGCCACATGGCGCCACGGCATTTTTGTCATCAATTACGCTGTAAATTGGTAACAGGGGTAATCGGCGGTCCTAAACAGATATAGCATCCATTTCTTGGCGCCAATTAGCGCTGGAGCTTTTTTTGCCACAAGTTTTGCTGTAAATTCGGGAGTAGAAGTAGTTGACGATTCTGAACACGGATTATGCATATATCTTCCCTTTGTGGCGCTCTTTTAGCGCCACAAATTCCCTAACGGGGCAATCATAAACTGAGAGTTGAGATTTTAGTGCCGCAATTACTAATATAGCAGATGTGGCCAGAGCGGCAGGTACATGAAGAGTTCACTTTTGTGGTCTACCGTTGCGTTATAAGGTTCAGTAAGACAACAATGCAAAATTCAATAGAAAATGGGAGACGAAAGCTTCCGGCAAGGAATTTTTGGCACCAGCACCGGAAAATAGATGCCGTATCCGTGCTGAGGCTCGTCCGCTACCCGTATCCGTACCGTGGCGCCAAATGGCGCGGCGCCAAAAACGGACGCCATTTTCATGCTCAGGACCACCGATTACCCCTGTTCCCAAGTTTACAGCGTAATTGGTGGCAAATAAGGGCGTGGCGCCATCTTGCGCCACATGGCGCGGCGCTAAGAAACGGATGCCATTTTCATGCTCAGGACCACCGATTACCCCTGTTCCCAAGTTTACAGCGTAATTGGTGGCAAAAAGGGCGTGGCGCCATGTGGCGCCAACATGGCGCCAAATGGCGCTGGCGCCGGACCAAGGTGTCTATAGGTGACACGAAGCCTGCTGAGCAAGGTGTGATTACTAGAAACTTGGAACATGCGCTGTGAAGTTTTTTTATGCTGCATCCCAACATCGACCCGCATTGTCCGTCGTGGCAAAAAAGTGCGTCCCAACATCGACCCGCAATGTCGCCAATGGGTTATCTACAACACCACACCATCGTCAGAACACCACGACTAGCGTTTTTAGGTTTGGAATGAAGAAACCTATAGAAAGTGTTTTTGTTCCTGGAATAGATAACTTTTTCTTGATGGGGCCATGAAACTTAGTCAATGTTTTTTATCGAAGTCGGTTCTCAGCATTCTATTATATATTTTTCCCACTCGCTTGAATTAATCCCCCTCAGAGCTTTATTCCTCGCAATACAATTTAATATGATGTGGTCTCGTTATGGAGCTGCCCATCAGGTGACTTCCAAATCCAAAGAGTGAGCTTATAATTATGAAATGCACTACATTTGGGAGCCCCTTTTCGGTTGCGCCCAGTTCGGAAGTGACGTTACAACATCTTTCTGCAGATTTGGTCGAAGGAACTCTCAGTTAATCCTTGTCAATCTCCTCTATAGTCCTTGTTTCCACCTTTCCGGCCAAAAGAGCAAGAAATTCGTGCGGAATTTCTTCGTGAGTATGGTGTGTCCAAGGGTTTCAAGAAGGTTAGAACAGTTATCAGGGAGCCGCATGATAAAATAGAATGAGAAACGCGCTTTCGATTGTTGTGTTATGTCAGGGAGTAATGTTCAACCGATATGGAACTAATGCACCGAAAGTTAAAGCATCAAGAACAGCCAAGATTTTGAGCGATCTGGTACTTTCCACTACGTTTTCAAAAGCGCAGCAGCCTAGTTCTTGCAAAAGAAGCGTCCACGCGGCAAAGTTTTTGTTTACTCGCACGCCTGTTGTGCTTCCTCAACTCTCTGCATTTTTTCAGATTAGCGTCTATTAAGGTGATTGTCTTTTGCTGTCTGGTAAACAAAAAACCATCAAGATAAAGATGGTCTATTATTCCACGGTCTCAGGCCGTTTTTCCTTTTTTTATTCAATGACGGTCCACTCCTTCTCTCATTTCATTTTCAAGCGGGATGAGCAAACCATTATAGTATAGTCTGGCTAGGAGAAGCGCCTTGTGGTTTACATGAAGACCCATGTTTGAGGCTCGCTTTACATGGCAGAAAACTCCACGTGAATGTGCCCACTTAGACCGATGTCAGACTTGACACGTTGAGGTACCAGCCAATTGAGTGATTCACTGGCCGCGACGCGACCGCAGACGCTAGCGAATCGCGCGATTCGCAAAGTCTGACATCGGCCTTAGCGACGCTCTACGCTTCGCGCATTTTGGAGCATCGAATAAAAACTCTGCAGCATAAAACATACAGAACATAAAGATTCCTACTATATATAAAGCGCTATGTCTGTCTGTTTGTGTGTGTGTCACGAAATTCACAGCTCGTACATACATAATACCACATAAATATAATACATAAATTACACAATCATCACTGCTTAATTCGCTTGATTGCCTTACATTTGATTGATTTCATTTTAAAATCATCATTCTTTGTACTGACTTGTTTGCAGATTACCGAATGCTGGTGCGCACATTTTGTGAAGCGATCACAGGAAACGGGGTTTTCGATCTCTGTAGCTCGACCCATAGGCCCAGCTACTATATCACTCAGCGAAAGGGAAGCACCTGCTTCGGTGAGTAGCTTGAAATCCGATTATGTTAGCATGCATTGTAACATTAAATTAGGAAAATCTTCATGGTTCTTCCTCGACAATCCATAATTTTATTAGAATACACCTGGTCGTAACAATGATTATTTCACAAGAATGCTGGGTTGTGAACAAAACTTTCGCCCCAGGCGGGACTAGAACCCGCACCTCTCGCTTTCCGGGCAAGTTACGCTACCGGGGCACCATTTCATTCCAACTCAGCTTTTCATGGTATACGTACCATAGCTTTCAGCACTCACACGTATAACGTGTTGAGCCGGTTAGCCGATATCGGCAATGACCGCGAGGCTGAAAGCTTTAGCAATGAATTTTGACTTGTTTTTGTTTGTTAACTGCTGTTTTTGGCCGCAGTTCGCCTTGCGAATGTTTCACAAGAATGCTGGGTTGTTATAATGATTATTAAGTGGTATGATTATTTCTTTCCAGCCGCCAGCACGACAATTACCACCTTTACGTCACACTTACGGAGGACGACGAGATCCTCAGAAATATGCCCAATAAACACGGATACGTTCTCGAGATAATGTGAGTTATTTTTTCAATTGCTACGTGCTGAGAATGATTTGTTTTACTGCTGTTTATGGCGAGAAAAAAAATTTAGGCCGCCACCAGAGAGAAAGTTTATAAGTTCAGGAAGATAGGGCGGTATACCGTAAACCGTAACGCTCTCAACGTTAGGGCAATGGCACTGTGGCGCGCAATCTCACTTGTCATCGATTTCCCATACGGGCTCGCTTCCCAGTTCTCGTTTTCACCATCCTGTTTTCGTGAACTCGTAAGATTGTCCATCCAAGGGCCTTCGTTGTCACTCTACCTTTAACAATGCCTCAGTGTTTCTCTTACTCTATGGGGTGATGCCGCACTACTTTGTCTTACATATACTATCTGAATGATTCATCACTTGATCGAGAGAAACTGATGCACTGGTGTATGCTGCTCCTTGTCGATGTCGCTACTTCACTCCTAGGTAGATCTTTCAAAACGAGGCCAACTTCAGAGAAGCCTTCATTGCATTACCGTTCTTATCGCTTTTTGAAGCTCTCGTGGCCTGTTTTTTTTTTGACGCTCATTTGGGTAGTTCGGTGTCTATGGCCAGTTACACCGTGCAATAGACTGCATGAAACGGAAAATTCGGATTATTCTTCGACCTAATGGCACATTCCACACAAACCAATGGATGACTAGACAAAGAACAAATTTAGGAATAGGTGTCTTAATTTCTGCAAATCCAACATCGGAACTGCGATGTTAGGTCTAAAAACATTGACTGCGTCACCTCATACTCTTGTTCCGCCTGCCTCTCCCTCGTCACTATCCTCTTTCGCTAACCGTAGCTAGGATCGTTGGGTGCCCTCTCAAAGGCGTAAGCCGGTATAATGATTCGAATCAGCGTCAATGAACATTCATAGCATTTACTATTGTTTCAATAACCCCATAATCCACGACCTGCTATCATAATGTGCCCTAACCTCTTTTTTATTTGTTTCACAAAAATGTCGTCTGCGATCGCTATCAAACTATGGTAATGATCGACGTCAGTAATTTCCACTCATCTACTGTTCTGTCAGGTTTATAGCTTTCTCGACACGTCAATCAACCTCACATGTTCCTTACCGACTCTGAAGAAGAGAGGAATCGAAACGGGTTCATTCATTAAAGTCATATTGTTATTCTTACTGATATCCCACATTCAACAATGATCTCGTTATCAATTGGTTACCATGGAGAAATTCCCAGAAAATTGCCTTCTCTTCAATTTCCGTTGTTTCTGCATAGTTTTGTAAGCTATTGTCAAGTGGAAAGTATGTATTATTATTTCTTCTTTGTCACTAACGGGGATGAAGGGACTTCTATAGATTGGGCCGCACCGCCATCCTGGCTTGGGTACTTAATTGAGACTGAAGCCATATGCAAATCCGGGGTTACCGTCTAGGATCCAGCGGAATGGAGGCGAAATTAGTTTTTCGGGTATGCGCCAAATTCGAGTGGACAGGGGTAGAAGCGCTCAGTTGATTCTTGGAAGATGATTCATAAGGTATTGAGGAGTTTTTAGTGACATCCTACGAAGTTTAGTTAGCTTTGCGAGAAAATTCAGCGAGTCTTACGGGACTTTCTGTGTTTTTTTTTCGTTTGTGCTGTTTGTATAGTATTGCGCAGTGTAATTCCTTTCTCAATTCCTACCCCTCCAGCACATTTTTACATTTTTTTCGGGTTAAAACAGGGATAACCACGTGTTGTATGGAACGACCAGGAACGGAGGTGAAGGCGGATGTGCTGCGCCCATTTGGGGTGAGGGGGGGTGTCAGTCCTAGTTGGGGGAAGGTCATTTTGACTAGATTTAATGGACACTAGACTCGCCCTAACTCTGCTCATTGAGAGGATTTGTAGAAGTGCCAGAACGTGTCATCCCATCCCTACTATGAGCCTGAATTGTAGAACTAGCATTTAGAGGGATTCGTTGATGACTGCATGCGCTGCTTCGTGAAATTTGATAAGAAATTTTATGAATTTTTCCACTCTCTATTTTACCCTTTATTTATTGCACATCTATGTGAATGTTTAATCTGTGATAAAATAAAGTATTGCAACGAACCATTATGATTGTCAGTATGGAAAATATGAAAAAAGGTAAATCAACTCAAGGTTAAAATCAACTCAAGAGGCCCATTTAGAACGAGCTCATGGGTGAATACAGTCTTGATCTAATCGCCTTTATTCATTCACGATCGGAGAACCTTTAACTGCAATGCGGATCGTCCAAGACTGATGATGGAGTAGTAGATCGCAAAAGCTGTAAGCAGATGGGAGCTTAACCTCAAATGCATGCGCGGGACGCTTATTTTAAACAAATAGAAAGTAGAAGTCACGAGTGCAACTAGTTCCAAATTAATTCCCACACCCTGTCAATCACGTGCAGCGAAGGTAATTCGAGAGATACAGCACTCTCATCCTTCAATTCAATGCGGAAGCAAAGCCACGTGCTACGCTGCGCGGTATGAACTTGCTGACTGACCCGGGTAAAAACAATCTACACGCCTATCCTAGGAGGCCTACATGGCGGCAACGCTTCGAAAGCCGCGTGATTTGTATCGTCGTGTGCGAAGCATATCCATCACGAAGTAATGAGGAGTCGCTCTAAAGAGGAAGGTTTTTCAGGAAATGCCAAGTTTTCTCAAAACAGTTTTTGCATAACATTCGGATGCATGCATATGAACACCTGTATTCATTTTTTCGAGGGTCAACCGTTACGTTGGACCGATATTGGAGCGACGTTGGACCGATGTTGACCGCTCTCCGCGCCGGCATTCACTCTCGCCACCCGCGAGCCGTCTGTGTCTCCGTGCGTACGTTCACTCTCGGCATTACTCTCGTCGTCGCGTTGGACTTTGTCCAACGGACGGTTGACCCTGCCTCTGAATACCAAAAAAGGAGCGAAGAAAAAATTCTAAGGAACTGCCGTTCTAACCGCTTTGTTGTGACGTACATCGCACACAGCGTTGACCAGTGTCATATCAAAAGGTTCTCATGAATTGTACATTGAAAACAGTGCGGAATTCGGTCAAAAATAAAACGATCTCCTTGGCATGTATTGAAACTATTGTGGAACATTCATCAGCGCCGTCTGAAGCCTGTCAGCGGCAGTCGGATGGCCTAGTGGTTAGTGGTGCGGTCTGTGAATCGGAAGGAAAGGGGCGGTGTTGATGGTTCGACTCCCCACAGTGCCAAAGTTTTGCTTTTTTTCTATTGTCATTTTCCTGTGATCGTGCACTCCTGCGCATGCATATAATGCGGATTTATGTTCGTTTTGAGATCCTACGACTGCGAAATTCGTATTGGTCTCTCACGAACTTGTGTGTGCATCGATAGAAATTTTATAATTCATAAACAAATTGCCCCCGGAAGGCTTGGAGAAGGGCTAACGTGGAATAGGAGGGGGTCCGTCCTAGTGATTACCACGGAAACCGAGGTTCTCCCTCGCAGGGCAAGTCTCACACAACGTTGCGTTTTTTGCAGCTGATCAGTAGACCCAGCCAGAAGCATGACCAGAAGCCCAACCTGCCACTGTTTGACAAGGAGGAGAACCTAATGACATAGTCATTGGTGACTTCTCGCCCATCGCCGGCTTGAGTGTCTACCATTGTCTATTACGGGAAAGGATTTCTCATTCCGTGAAAAAATGACAAGGAGGTCGCCTCCAAATTATCTACCAATGAGCCTGACGGGCTAGTGATCTATCTACCCATGGTCCAACTGTTCGAAGTTGGGACGAAATCTTAATTTTCCCTGAAACTTTCGGGTTAGGGGTTATTCGGCGTCCTGATTACGAATATTCTATTAGTTTTTAGCGTAAACGTCATTTGAATTCGCTATGACGCCATTGGGCGCTACAACGGCGCCGTTTTGGTGTCGCAACTTTCTCCACCAGTTTTTTTAGTCAAAATCTACGTATGAAGGTTGCTGTTGCTCCTTGTTATAGATATGACATCTGCTATTCACGCTGACGCCCTTTTTCGAATTTTGGAACGCCAACACAAAATGCAAAAAATTGTCACTGCGAGGATTCGAACCACCGACCCCTTAATGACCCCTTTTTTGGTATTCAGAGGGCCACTCAGGAAAAATGAACTACAGTTCAGTGTACTATGCATGTACCCTTACATCATGCAAAAAACCGCTTTGAGAAAGCTTAGCATTTACTGAAAGACCTTCCTCGTAAGAGCACTAGTCTGTGCGAGATTTCCGCAATTTACGCGCGGGAGGATAGCGCAGTTTTGATGGTGTGTTGAACGTCGTTTTAAGCCCTTCAGCGCGCCAGGGGTAACGCTGGGACCACGTCCAACACCTTTCTACCAACAACGTTCGGTGGCGTTGTCTGAATTGCGCCACCCTCCAGCATCGTCATCGCTGCCTTCAAGGGACAACCCAGTTTACATACAAGAGCGCCTGAGGTC